CGAGGCTCGCTTCGCTTGCCCAAATAGGAGAGCTTGCTCGTAGGCTATCAAAACTGGTGCGTAAAAGGGTAAGGGATTGGACCTCGGGGCGGAACCTCCCCGTCTAAAACTTTGTTGATTATATCCCTCCTCCTGGCCCTTGTCCCTCAGGTAAAAGAAAATCTTTGTGCTTGCCCTAGTTTCTAAAGGCTTGCTACGACCATACAGTTATTGGGAGTACTCGGAAAGTTTCGTCCAAGCCGTCTGTGTCACTGCCAGACTAAAAAAAAATCTTTCTGATGTATTCACTAAGCTTTAAATTCATCATCAGATTTCTATCAAACTTGATCTTTTTAATAACGCATATCGAGTAAACATAAATATCAGCATTTATCCCCTTAAGCAATATCGGGGTATTTGACTTGGCTTTCTATCCGTAAAATGCCGCTTTTTGATAAGCTTCCCCATGGGGCTTATATCCGGGGGGATCCTAATCGGATGCATTTTTTTTGTAGACTCACTGATATATACCTTATTTTTACACTGATCGTTTTGCCATCTCCACCCGCAGATAGAAAGAGCTAGACGAGGTAGGCGGAGTAGAAAGATTAGAGCAGTCATAAATATCAAATTAATAGAAGGCAAGCTATGAATATTATATTAAAGTAAACTAAATAAGCTAGGCGGATAAATAAGAATAACAATAAACAAGCTAGATTTACAAAATAGTCTTACAGAATGGAATTACAGGACAAATTTACAAAAGAATCTATCAATTATTAGTGCATTAAGTCGTCGCTGCAGATTTTGCGATTTTTTGTAGCAGAATGGGCATTTCAACATAATCACCCTCTGTTTCCGCCCCGATCCATTATCGAGAGCAATAACTCATGAAAATTTTTTTTCAAAGGTCCTTTGGAGACCAGAGTCGACGAAATTTGTTGGGAGAAGCGTTGAGAGATGCGTTAGCCCCAAACCTGGAAAAAGAATCTTGATTTTGATTTAGTCTTGTTGTTTACAGGTCTCCAAAAGTATTGAAATGAATTCGATTAACTACAGTGAAACCTCTATTAAGTGGACCCCCAATTAAGCGGACATTAACCAGGGTCCCGAAGTTAACGCCTAATATATTCCTTTATAACGAACCCCTATTCAGCGGACACCTCTATATTTTAAGCGGACACGGGCACTGGAATTCAAGTGTATTTGGCTAATTTCTATTGTTAAAACCTCTATTAAGCGGATACCGGACTGAATTGACAACAGTACGTAGTATTGGATCTGTTGGATTACGTCCTTGAAATACGTGCTGTAGTAAGTTAATGTTTTTGCATTTACAAACAAATTAAAGTTGATAATGAAAGGCAATGGACTTGAACTCTGGATAGCTTCCTTAACAACGTGGAACTTTATCACAGTACAGAATAACAGCTGAATGTTGATCGTTCACAAACATTGCGCAATAAATACAAAGCTCTTTCAAGCGGACACTTGGGAAGGTTCCGAAGGTGTCCGCTTAATAGAGGTTTCACTGTATAACATTTCGAAGCTTAATTCAAAACAAGTAAATGAAAAACGTATTTTGATCAGCAGTGCTATAGCGGCTTGTTTCGAAGTGCTCTTTGTATTCCGGTTACCATGCCAGCCCCCTTGCATATAAGCCCCTTCGTTTATACGAAGATATATAAGCCCAAGGGTTATAAACCGTGTTTTACGGTATGTGCCCTGAAAGGCAGGAAGCTAAGTAATAACCGACAATTGGCTGTTTGACGTAAACTGGGAGGGGTGGGAGATTTGAACAAATTATGTCAATTTAATTAGTAAAAATTTTGGAAAAACTGTGCAGATTTTTACCTTTTGTTCATGATTGTAGCTGTATAACTTGATTTAATATAATCCCAGGGTGGGGGAGTACTCCGAGTTTCAAGTGACGGGGATGATCGAATGGGGGCGAAAATCAAAACCCCAAAAAACCTCTAGGGCTTCCAACAAAACCCCCCCAAATATCCCTGGACCAAAAATTAACGCCCAAAAATCCCATGCCGAATTTCCGGGCCTTAAAAATTTCTAAAGAGCATTAAATGATATAACACGAAAAATGAAATTTTTTAAGACAAGTTTGGTTGTACTTTATTCGCAGAACTGCGAGGCCAAGATATGCGGGGACTACCACTGAATCTTCATATTAAATTGAATACTAAAAAAATCCCTACTTAAATCAAGCCACCCCTAAAAAAACTTACCAAAATTACCTGGGAATAAAATTCCAGCCTGCACCTGTCTTAGAAAGCCCACTTTGCTCTGAATAAACTCTCATCTTTGTGTTTGCCAAACAAAGTCGTCGTCATGAGTATTTGACGTCGTACCCTTAATGTGTTTTACTACGGGCTTTTAAAATTCTAAAATATATCTCAGTTCTTTGTATAAACTTCCTCATTCTACCGAACAAAGGCGTTATGTGTTTTTTTCGTCCAATGGATTATAAGCTTTGTCAACGCTCTTTTTAACTGCATTGTAAGATTACTCACAAGAACAATATCTCGTGTAGCTTCCCACAATTCATCCTTTTCAACTTTGTCGTTATGGAAATTTCTTGATGTGTTTTTTTAGCTGGTCAAGAAATTATCTTGAATCGTAGCCAACATTTACCAGCGCCGTACAAACGACTTATTGACGAGATCAAGCAACACTAACTACGAGAGAATAACAATTTGACTAACAATAGACGACTGTTAAACTGTGACAATAGACGGATCGAAACGCACCAATTACTGATTACCAGTCTTCATAGCCAATAACATCACGGCTTAACTGACAGACGACCAATAACATCACGACGTAATTGACCAAGCAAATCAATAACCAGAGTCTAATACCATCAACTGACGTGATACAACTCACTTTGACTCTGAAGATGACTACCGCACAGGTTGTCGAAATATCAGTCACTGTCAACAACCACAGTCCTATTCAGGACTACGTTCACCCGGACGATCAAACTCAACCTACTTTTTATATCGTTTTGTTAAACATATTAATTTTTTTTATTGTCTACTGAAATGAGTGTAACTTACTCTCGTCGCTTGATCGTTCGTTGGGCACTATGACTGCACGGATTTCAACTCCTTTGGGATGTAGTTTTGACAAACGTGAAAACATTTAAGGTAGCACAAGTTCATCAATTTTCAAAACATGCCTGGCAACAGGAGCCTTTTTTAGGACCGAGGATTATCAAGAGATATTTGAACGCCGAATAGTTCTTCCCAACAGTCATAACAGTTTCTTAATTGTCAGCGAGAAAGTCAGGTTCACCCTCTTTTGAAGCAATTAGGCAGGTTTTGTTTAATTTTTGATAGAACTAACCAATCGAAAGGAAAAAATTAAAAACGTAACAGGTTTAACCAGTTTTCATTTATACATTTTGACTGTATTTTGCTCTTACTGCGTTTTTCCGTATCCGTATTTTGCATACGGAGTAGTGGCTTTTCGAACTAACTCGCTTGCAAATTCTTCCCTTACAGCAACAATAATATATTAATAGTCTCATGTCTTTCTGCCATATGAATTAAACCGACGAACAGGAAACTTGTCTGAGTGTGTCTTTCACCGCTTGTCTGACTTCTTTGATTTTCCAGCAATATAGGAATGGGTTCAATGTTGAGTTTAAGTAAATAACAGTAACCCCAAATTGTCGAGCAAGGTAATACTGCAAAGGTAATTCTCTTTTAGGCGTTAAGACTACCGCAACAACGTACGGCAGATAACAAACAACTAATGTTACTTGTATCCATAGTGCACTGGATACTGCCTTTCTGTATCGCGCCATGTTCATTGACGTTGGTTGGGTTGACTGTGTTTTTGAGTCGTGCTCCAGTGGCTGAATCTGGTTTTTACGCAGAGTAATGAAAATTTTGATATAAGACATGATTGATGTGATCAAGAAGAGTATTATACCTATATTGCCAATCCAGGAAGTTACAAATGGGTTCACAAAGTACATTGTTGCAGCGACGATGGAGATAGCCCAAAAGACTATTATCGTTAAATATGTTCTCTTCAAAGTTACAACTTGTTTGTATGTGAGCCCTAGCAACAGGGCAAGAAGTCTGTCTAAGCTTACTAAAGTTATCGTCATTAAGGACACTGCAAAAAGAACATATCCTATGAAATATGCTGATACTAAGACGTAGCGACAAATATCCCATCTTTTTGTCGCCTCAGATATCCAATAAGTAACATTAAGAGGTTCCAAGATGACACCAACACAAAGATCAGTTATCGCCAGGTTACGATACAGGAGTTTGGACGGCGGATGAAGTGAAGTTTCCTTGTGTAGAGCTGCTAGAATCAGAGTATTCCCCAGAAATGTAGAAATGGACTGGAAGATATTTATCACAGACAAAATTATTAAGCAATTGTTCTCCTTTTCAGCCGCCAGTTCTTTGGAACAATAAAGTTGTTCGATCGTTTTGTAGTTTCCTTCTCCAGTTAAGTTTGTTACCACCATTTTGCTAGAGTTTGAGTAGGTTTTCTTGAACGAGTAACTGTTCAACACCTCAAACGCGTCCTTTGGCGTAGAATTGACTAACAGCGCAGGTGGTACGTTCTCGGTTTGTTAAGTTTCCTGTTTAGCGATTGTTTGACATAATGTCAATTCATGCCATGGCCAATTGCAACACCATTGGATAAAGACATAGAAATAGGGCCAACCGAGTTTGCAAGCCGCTATAATTGACGTACGATGAAATTATAAACCTTGTTGGGGATTCGCTTTGCGAGCTAAATAAGTCACGACGGTAGCTTAGAGACTGCCATTATTGAAATGATTAGTGCATGAATGCTCTGCAATTTGAATGAAGAGAGGCGAAGCGTTCTGAACCTCGTTAAAGAAAGGGCTACCATTTGTCAATAGAAAGTATACAAAAGGGGTGCGTTTCCTGTCACAAATCGTGCATAAAGGGTAAGGGACCTCGAGGCGGAGACTCCCCGTCTAAAACTTTGTTGAGTAGCCCCCCCCCCCTCCCCGCCTCTTGGGGCCCTTGTCCCTCAGTTAAGTCGTTTCTCCAGCCCCGGCATGCCGATCCACATTCTAAGGTCCAACCGACGGAACTTACCAAGTCGCGGTCAAACTTTTGAAGAGAATTTTATTCTGAGTATACAGTCAAACCGTATTCATAGGGACGCTAAATGGACCGAGCCAAGTGTCTGCAATACAGGTGATCCCTCCCTTGATCGTTTATTTGTCTTCGTTAGACACTATTGTGTTTCAATCGCCTACACAAGGTCACAATTTTCACTATTAAAATAGAGAACATTATCGGGGGCGTAGCGAGCCTATAGGCCCGTAGGCGCGCGCCTACAATTTCCTCTGCCCGCTTGACTTATTTATATTATTCTTATAAAGTCGAAAATTAACCTTTCTTCAGTCGGCTTTCGAGTTCAGAAGGTATTCGACAACTCCAGAAAAGTAAATAGTCTTGTGATGGAAAACGCATGGAAAGTACATGATCCGTCGGGCAACATTAAATCGTTGAAAAACTACTGTATTGTCGTCCACAAGAGTTCCCAAATTTAGTGTGGGTATTCACAGCAATTCCAACTTTGTCAATCATCTGCAGAGAGTTCTTAGAGTGAGAGTGCATTGAGAAGACTGAAAACTCACTTGAGGTCAACGATGAAAGAAGATCGCCCGGGTGGACATAATGATGATGATTGAATCCAACAATCACATTGTCGTGATGGAAGCGTGGTCTTCGAGGAAGACCGAGTGCACTTTTGCCAAGAAACTAGTATCTACTAGAGTCTACTAGCCACTGAGCTGACTAAACTTGATTAGCTCATGACACCTGAACCAAGCTCTTGGAACAAACTATGGAATATTTAATTAATATTCGCTTTAAAGGACCAAAGGTATGCCCCCCGAAAATCCAGAAATTATTGTTGTTCTGCTCTTATAAAACGTGACAGACGTGATTTTTTAAATACTGTTTCTAAAAACTCGCAATGCAAATTAAGTTGTAGTTTTATTTCTGTTAGATATTACATTTAAAATCCTTCTAACTATCCAAGTGAACTATGTTTCTATTTGTTGAGGCTATCTACAAATAGCATATTCCTTTCTTGTAAGGAAAAACTTTTCACACGCATGGAGCGAATTGCAACAAGCTGAAGCTTTTCCCGTGGGGACCGTGGGAGGGCATTGTTTCTGCAGCTCCGGCGCAGGCTAACTACTGTTAGGGCCAATAACTCTACGCAATAATTTTGTCTTCGTTCCGAATTGACTTTTAAATCTGTTCGCCAGACGACGTCCCCTCCCCACAAAAATCGGCCTCATTGAAATTCGAGTGGGACACGCAAAGCATTCTGGGAGTTCCGTCTGCCCTATGCCCTCACGGGCAGCCTAATAATGAATTCGATATTTTACAACGTTTCGAGGCTAAAAGCGAATAAACGTAATTTGATCAGGCCTGCTATGTAGCTTGTTTTAAAACGCTTTTTTCACTCCGGTTATAAGCCCCCCTTAGCTTGTGAGAAAATTAATGCGTCATTGTGGCGGGAAAACTCGTCACGCGATCTGAGAACTGAACTTTTGTACAAGAGTCTAGGAACTGTGTTGTCGTTCGGGGTCGTGGAACTGATTGAGTGTGTAGATTGAGTCTAGATCATCGAAAATTTACGCGAATTTATGTCGATGAATCCTTTGAGTGTAGAACATAGCATAGCGTGCGTTGCAGCTGGCCCACGCACTCGTCTAAACCATTTACATAGAAGCTTTAGAGTGCCTGCGACGCAGGCAAAACAGAGTACAGAATTCTAAAATATGAACATGTGAAGAAATATACTCTCAAGGGAGTGAAGAATTAAAACTAAATGGAACTGGTTCTAACACACAATTTGTGACGCCTCATTTCTAAGCCCTGCTAAAACCCCTTACGAAGTTGTATAAACTCAGGGCTTATCAGCGGAAGTTTACGGTATTTGAATGGATAGTTCGCGATTACAGTCATAACTGTCTCTTCAGCGTCACATGCTACTGGGTTAATTTTAAGAGTTGATTCTTAATTTATGTGAAAGCTAAGTAATCAGTGGTAAAAAAACAATTTAAACGTCACAGTTTAAACTAGTCTCCGTTGATACATTTTACTCACAACGCCGCTTTACGTAATTTGCATTTAATATTAAAATAAACGCAGACTAAAATTGTCACATGTATTCTTTGGGGCTTTCTTAGGTTTTGTTTTTCTTGCAAATTCACCTCTAATAAAATTGCAAATAAAATTATTTCAACCTAACTTTTCGGTAAAAGGATCACGCATTCTCGCCCCTGCTAACGGGTTAAAAAATTCCGCTTTGTGGATGCTAAGAGAGTAAGAGACATGATCAAGGGAAACTGTAAAATCTTTACTTGGAATACGCATACGGTACAAATCCAAATCATCGAATTTTTTTTTACTAAATAACACTTATTTCTAGCTTCAAAAAACCTAAAAGTCAAAAAAGACCTACGATACATACATATAAAGGAGAGAATCGACATGACATCGCTTTCTCATTTAAATAAAATCGTCGCGCCTAGAAATAAGCGAATTTCGAAATTGTTTTACAAAGATATAAATATTAATTTAAAAAATTTCAATTTAAACTAATTACATCGTGTTCAAAATGGACTGGGCCTTACAATTACGAGAAGATATAATACAATAAATTAGATAAAAAACTAGAAACTAGAAATATATATCAAGTTATACATTGAATTCCCGTAAGTTCCTAAATTACATGCCATGAGCATAAAGGCACATCGTCGGAAAAAAGTTTCTTTTAAAGCGTTCAGTTTTGCAACTTTTAAGGGATGATCTGTCTTTGTTGCGAAGGGAGCGGCCGTGCGCCTGCGACCGAGTCGGTGGAACAAGATAGCGAAGACGGGACTCGGGCTCTTTTATCTTTGTAAATAATTTGCTACACAACTCCATTCTTCTTGTGTGAAACGATACTCAACCGGTAGTAGCTAAGGCCTCTTGGTAGTGCAGTGCAGGAAAGATGATGCGCAGCGCCCGTTTCTGCACTCGCTCGATGCTATCTGATAGTTTGATGGGGAAGGCATTATGCCACACAGGACAACAGTAGAAAAATAAACAAAAACAATAATGGGGTGAAGATATGCTTCGAATAATGATAGGAATATGAAAAGCACAGAAATTAAACCAAAGAACAGAATATATGTCTGAGAGTGCCTTTCACCGCTTGTCTGACTTCTTTGATCTTCCAGCAGTACAACAACGGGTTTAATGAAGAGTTTAGGTAGACTACAGTAACCCCAAATTGTCTAGGAAGGTAATATGGTAAAGATAATTTTCCTTGAGGTGTTACAATTACCACAACAGTATACGGCAGATAACAAACAACTAACGTTAGTTGTAGCCACAATGCACTTGATACTGCCTTTCTATATCGAGCCAAGTTCAATGGAGTTGCTTGCGTTGACTGTGCTTGCGAGACGTGTTCCTGTGGCTGAATGTGGTTGTGACGTAGAGTAAGAAAAATCTTCGTATACGAAAAGATTGAGATGGCTAAACAGAGTGATATACCTATGTTGCCGAGCCAGGACGTTACATAGGCGTTCACAAAATACATTGTTGCAGAGACAATGGCAATAGCCCAAAGGATTGTTATAGTAATGTATATTCTTTTCAAAGTTACAACTTGTCTGTATCTGAGCCCTAGCAACAAGGCGAGAAGTCTATCCACGCTTATCGAAGTCATTGTCATCAAACACGCTGAGCACAAAACAAAGCTTGTAACGTATCTTAAGTCTAAGGAGTAGCGACAAATATTCCAGCGTTCAGTTGCCTCAGATATCCAATAAGTAACACTAAGAGGTTCCACGATGATACCAACAAAAAGATCAGTTATCGCTAGGTTACGATACAGGAGTTTGGACGGCGGATGAAGGGAAGATTCGTTGTGCAGAGCAACTAGAATCAAAGTGTTCTCCAGAAATGCGGTAATGGACAGAACGATATTAATCACAGACAGAAATATTAAATGGCTGTGTACTTTTTCCCTTAAATCTGCTGAGCAATATAGTTCTTCGATCGTTTGGGCATTTTCTTCTCCAGTTAAGTTTGTGATCAGCATATTGCTCCGTTTTGAGTAAACTGTACTGTCTGGTTTTCTGATAAGAGCAGCTGGCCAATATTGCAAAACTATCTGACGCATTGCAGCAGCGCAGGCCCGGGTTTCGGAACAGGTTGAAGATGGTTTTCAGTTTGTTTTTCTAGTTAACAAGTGATTGGCTGACATAATTTAAATATCTTGTTATCTATACCCCTCAGAGCTTTTCAGGGATAATTTACGACAGTTGGTGGGCGACGTTGTGGGGACGTTTACAATTAGTAGACTGATGAGTTGTTAATGCTGTCTGATGTGAAATGAGGTAGACACCAGGGTTTGTCAATGCCAGAAAAATTTCTGGTAAGGAATCGAACCCAGGCCTTTCGCTCCGACTTCTCGGACTCCTCTTCGATCTGCATAATTCCGATCTTCACTTCATACTAATGCAGAATTCAATAATTGCTAAATATATCGAAATTGGTCAATTGAGTTAATCAGATGGCATTTAATTTTTTAGGGGAGGTTATTCGTTATCAATTTTTTATTTCGTTTCTTTGTTTTTGCTTGGAAATGTTTGTGCCGGCCATTAAGGCGGGAAGTTGATTATTATTGTGGCTGGTATTAGGGTGTAGCATCCGAATTAACCCGCGAGGGGTGGTGGATTTGAACAAATTACCTCAAGTTCATGTTAACAATAAGACCTCGATGGAAATAAATGTTGGTGATCAAGAATTGTTCTGTTTTATTCTGGCAAAAAAAGGATATATCTTAGCTCATCCAGTTATTTCTGCTGAGCAATATAGTTGCTTGTTTAGTTTGTGGTTTTTGTCTAAAGTAAAGTTTTACAACACCATTTTGTTGCAATGTGATCCTTCAGCTTGAAAACTGACAAGACACAGGTAATAGTTTACCTAGTTATATGTAGTAATAATCTTAGAATGAAGGAAACTTAAAATTGCATTAGGGCTTATTTCGATTCAAAATAAAACAAAGCGTTATTACAATTTACGGTAGCTCGGCTCATCACAAATTACCACAAGGTTTTATTACAATTCACGATAGCTTGGTTATTACATGACAAAGATATTTTTCAGTCAGTGACGCCGGTGGCTCTGAAAAAAAAGTCTGTGCAGGTTGTAGCTATGAAGCTTGCAGCTCAGTGGTAAGCATCTGGACTGGTAACCAGGTCATAGGCCCAGCTGGACTCCTATTCGGGGCCGTAGCATGGGGAGGGGCTGGGGAGACCCGTACCTCCCCACCCCCGCGAGGTTTTTGCCCCAAAAAGTCAAAACATGCACGTATGAAAGTTGAATCTCCCAGAGATTTGAAACAATGATGTCTCTGCAGCTAGGTGAAACATTTTCTGGTTTTAAGGTACAGAGACCAGTCTAATGTGTCCTCCGGACCTCAAACGCTCTGTTTTCAAATACAATGAGCTACCTAAAATCTTTGTGCCCCCCTTCCCTAGTTTCTAAAGGCTTGCTACGACCCTACGGTTATTGGGGGTACTCGGAAAGTTTCTTCAAGCCCTCTGTGTCACTGACTGATAAAAATCTTTCTCATGTATTCACCAGGCTTAAAATTCACCATCATATTTCTATCAAACTTTATCTTTTTAATAACGTATATCAATTAAACAGAAATATCAGCATTTATCCCCTTGGGCAATCTCGCGGTATTTGACTTGGCTTTCGATCCGTAAAAATGCCGCTTTTTTTATAAACTTCCCCACCTATAAATCCTCCCAGTTATTGACCCATCTACCTGTAAACAACAACAAAAATGCATCTGATTATGATCCCCCTAGATATAAGCCCTTTGATTTATTATGACATTTCGAAGCTTAATTTAAAACCAGTAAATTCAAAACGTATTTTGATCAGCACTGCTATAGATTGTTTCAAAGAACTTTTTCTATTCCGGTTATAAGTCGTCTCGGATATAAGCCCCTTCGTTTATAAGCCCTCTTAAAACCCCTCACGAAGATATATACGCCCAAGGGTCATAAACGGCAAATTAGGTATGTACTCTGAAAGGTTACCCTGGCAGGAAGTAATTACAATTGGGTGTGGGTGTTTGACATAAACTGGGAGGGGTGGGAGATTGGAACAAATTATCTCAATTTAATTAGTAGAAATTTCTGCAAAAACTGTGCAGATTTGTACCTTTTTATCATGATTGTAGCTGTATAACATGGTTAACATAATCCCAGGGGGGAGAACTCCGGGTTTCAAGTGACGGGGATGATCGAATGGGGGCAAATATCAAAACCCGAAAAGGTCTCTAGGGCTTCCAACAAAACCAAAAAAATCCCTGAATCAAAAATTAACCCCCAAAAATCCCATGCCGAACTTCCGAACCTTAAAAATTTCTAGAGAGCATTAAATGATATAACACGAAAAATGAAGTCTTTTAAGACAAGTTTGGATGTACTTTATTCGCAGAACTGCCAGGCCAAGATATGCGGGCACTACCACTGAATCTTCAGATTATTTTGAATACTAAAAAAATCCCTACTTAAATCAAGCCACCCTAAAAAAAACTTACCAAAATTTTCTACCAAAAAAAATTCCGTGATCGAAAAGAAACCTTCGATTATCCCAGTCACTTGAAAACCGGAGTACTCCCCATGGGAATATAATTCCAGCCTGCACCTGTCTTTAGAAAGCCCACTGTTTTCTGAGTAAACTCTCATCTTTATGTTTGCCAAACAAAGTCGTCGTCATGACTATTTGACGCCTTAGCCTGAATGTGTTTTACTAAGGGCTTTAAAAATTCTAAAATATCTCTCAGTTCTTTGTATAATCTTCCTCATTCTACCGAACAAAGGCGTTATGTGTCTTTCTGGTCCAATGGATTATAAGCTTTGGCAACGCTCTTTTTAACTGCATTATAAGATTACTCACAAGAACAATATCTCGTGTAGCTTCCCAAAATTCATCCTTTTCAACTTTGTCGTTATGGAAATTTCTTGATGTGTTTTTTTAGCTGGTTAAGAAATTATCTTAAATCGTTTTGTTAAACATGTTAATTTTTTTTATTGTCAACTGAAATGAGTGTAACTTACTCTCGTCGCTTGATCGTTCGTTGGGCACTATGACTGCACGGATTTCAACTCCTTTGGGATGTAGTTTGGACAAAGGTGAAAACATTTAAGGTAGCACAAGTTCATCAATTTTCAAAACATGCCTGGCAACAAGAGCCTTTTTGTAGGACACAGGATTATCAAGAGATATTTGAACGCCGAATAGTTCCCAACAGTCATAACAGTTTCTTCATTGTCAGCGAGAAAGTCAGGTTCACCTTCTTTTGAAGCAATTAGGCGTGTATTTTTCATTTTTGATAGAACTAACCAATCGAAAGAAAAAAAATTAAAAACGTAACAGGTTTAACCAGATTTCATTTATACATTTTGACTGTATTTTGCTCACACCGCGTTTTTCCGTATCCGTATTTTGCACACGGAGTAAAATTGTTGTGAATTCTCAAGGCTTTTTTTTTGGTGTGGCTTTTCGAACTAACTCGCTTGCAAATTCTTCCCTTATAGCAACAATTATATATTAATAGTCTCGTGTCTTTCTGCCATATGAATTAAACCGACGAACAGAAAACTTGTCTGAGTGTGTCTTTCACCGCTTGTCTGACTTCTTTGATTTTCCAGCAATATAGGAATGGGTTTAATGTTGAGTTTAAGTAAATCACAGTAACCCCAAATTGTCGAGCAAGGTAATACTGCAAAGGTAATTCTCTTTTAGGCGTTAAGACTACCGCAACAACGTACGGCAGATAACAAACAACTAATGTTACTTGTATCCATAGTGCACTGGATACTGCCTTTCTGTTTTGAGCCATGTTCATTGACGTTGGTTGGGTTGACTGTGCTTTTGAGTCGTGTTCCAGTGGCTGAATTTGGTTTTTACGCAGAGTAATGAAAATTTTGGTATAAGACAAGATTGATGTGATCAAGCAGAGTATTATACCTATATTGCCAATCCAGGAAGTTACAAATGGGTTCACAAAGTACATTGTTGCAGCGACGATGGAGATAGCCCAAAAGACTATTATCGCTAAATATGTTCTCTTCAAAGTTACAACTTGTTTGTATCTGAGCCCTAGCAACAGGGCAAGAAGTCTGTCTAAGCTTACTAAAGTTATCGTCATTAAGGACACCGCAAAAAGAACATATCCTATGACATACGCTGATACGAAGACGTAGCGACAAATATCCCATCTTTCTGTTGCCTCAGATATCCAATAAGGTGAACCATAAGAGGTTCCAAGGTGACATGTTTTGGAGTAGGGAACAAATATTTGAATGGATAGTTGTGTCTCACTTGGTGTCACCTGCTACTGAGGTAATTAGAGCTAATTTTTAGTTTATATGGAAATTAAGTAATCAACGTCAAAAAAGCAATTAAAACGTCACAATTTTAACCACTCTTCTTTAGCTCACACTGCCGCTTTACGTCTTTTCCATTTTTTGAATAATGAAATAAACACTAGACTAAATTTGTCACTTGTGCGTTCTTCGGGTCCTTTGTGGGTTTTGCTTTTCTTAGTTACTTACTTGCAAATTTGCCTTTGAGTAACAGAATATAAATTTTAACAAAAATTCCTAAAAAGCTTCTCTGAAAGAAGGATTACGCATTCTCGCACCTGCTAACGGATTGAAAAATTCCGCTTTGTGGATAACGAGGATGAAGAAGACATGATCGAAGGAACCTTTAAAGGCTTTTCAAAATGTCTACTTTTCATACACAAACAGCACAAATTATTGAATTTTTTACCTAAAGAACGCGTAATTCTGACATCAATAAGCGTAAGAAACTTAAGAGAGAATCGATATAAACATCGTTTTAATTCAGGTCAGCGTTAAAACATTTAAAAAAATTGAAATGGACTACAATTGTAGGTTTAAGTAATGACAAGAACATATGTAGAATGAAACGCAAAGAAATTAACCAAAGAACAGCAATCTTGTTTGCGTGTGAAAAACTCCGTTTTTTAATTGTTACAAAGAAGGGGACACTGTCTGTTTTTTGTTCTTTTATTACTGGCGTTTTTCAGCGCTTTAACTTTAACACACAATTGAGGCGCACATTATTGAATCTTTATCTTAAAAACACTAAATTCTTGTTTCGATAAACCGAACAAAGCCAAAATCACCAGTCGGAAGAGAGAATCGACTAAAGCATCGTGTATTTTTTTTTATATATACTGTTTTGTTCCAAGGGTATATTGTAAATCAAAACAGTGAAGTTTCACGCACAGCACAAATAAATAGATAAAAAAAAAATAAAGTACAATAAACATGAACACAAAAATAAAATAAGGCAATAGAGGAAAATATTTACCCTCTGATAAGTTTAAATTGAGTATGATTGTATAGAAATTAAACCAACGAACAGCAAATTTGTCTGAGAGTGTCTTTCACCTGTTTTACCGCTTGTCTGACTTCTCTGATCTTCCAGCAGTACAACAACGGGTTTAATGACGAGTTTAAGCACATCACCGTAAACCCAAATTGTCGCGAAAGGTAATTATGTAAAGTTAATTTCCCTTGAGGTGTTAGAAATACCGCGACGACATACGGAAGATAACAAACAACCAATGTTACTTGTATCAACAATGCACTTGATACTGCCTTTCTGTATCTAGCCATGTTCAGTGGAGTTGCTTGGGTTGACTGTGCTTGCGAGATTTGTTTCTGTGGCTGAATTGAACTGTAACGCAGAGTAAGGAAAATTTTGGTATAAGAGAAGATCGAGGTGACGAGACATAGAAATGTAACCATGTTGGCCCTCCAGGAAGTTACAAGCGTGTTCACAATATACATAGTTGCAGCGACAATTGAGCAAACCCAGAAGATTAGCATAACAACATATGTTTTCTTCAAAGTTACGATCTGTCTGTATCTGAGCCCCAGTAACAGGGCGAGAACTCTATCAATGCTTATTGCAGTTAATGTCAGTAAAGACACTACGCACAGAACACTGCTTATCATAGATGATAAGAGAAGGGCGTAGAAACAAATATCCCATCGTTCCATCGCCTAAGATATCCAATAAGCAGCGCTAAAAGGTCCCACGATGATACCAACACAGAGATCAGTTATATGCTGAGAAAGTGAGAGACATAATCGAGGGAAACTGTAAAATCGTTACTTGTACTACACATACCGAGCAAAAATTATCGAATGTTTTACTAAATAGCACTTATTTCTAGCCTCAATAAACCTAAAAATAATAAAAACCTACATATAAAGGAGAGAATCTACATGGCAACGTTTTCTCATTAATAAAAGGTCACTGTTTATGTCAGTATTAACAGATATATCGCTCGGAAAAAAAATAATTAAAAAGAAAAAGAACACAAGAAACGCAGGGAAAGATCAGCTTAAAGGACTGATAAGAATATGAAAAGCACAGAAATTAAACAAACGAACAGAAAATATGTCTGAGTGTGCCTTTCACTACTTGTCTAACTTCTTTGATCTTCCAACAGTACAACAACGGGTTTAACGACGAGTTTAAGTACATGACGGTAACCCCAAATTGTCTAGCAAAGTAATGTGGCAAAGATAATTCTCGTTTAGGCGTTAAGAGTACGGCAACAACATACGGCAGATAACAAACAACTAATGTTATTTCCACCCATAATGCACTGGATACTGCCTTTCTGTATCGAGCCATGTTCAGTGGAATTGCTTGAGGTGACTGTGCTTGCGAGACGTGTTCCTGTGGCTTAATTTGGTTGTTACGAAGAGTAAAGAAAATGGTAGAATACGAGAAGATCGAAGTGATCAAACAGAGTATTATAGCTACGTTGCCGATCCAGGAAGTTACGAGGGGATTCACAAAGTAGATTGTTCCAGAGACAGTGGCGCCAGCCCAAAGGATGGTTATGATTGCGTATGATCTTTTCAAAGTTACAACTTGTCTATATCTGAGACCCAGCAACAAGGCGAGAAGTCTGTCCACGCTTAATGCAGTAACTGTCATCAAAGATACTGAACACGGAATAAAACCGATTACATACGTTGAAACATTAACGTGGCGACAAATATCCCATCGTTCCATCGCCTCCGATGTCCAGTAACAAACAGCAACAGGCTCAACGATGATACCAACACAGAGATCAGTAATCGCTAGGTTTCGATACAGGAGTTTGGACGGCGGATGAAGTGAAGTTTCCTTGCGCAGAGCAACTAGAATCAGAGTATTCCCCAGAGATGCGGTAATAGACAGAAATATATTTATCGCAGACAAAATTATTAAATGATTGTTCACCTTTCCGGCCGCCATTTCTTTGGAACAATAAAGTTGTTCGAACGTTTTGTAGATTCCTTCTCCAGTTAAGTTTGTTTCCACCATTTTGCTACAGTTTGAGTAGGTTCTCTTGAACGAGCAACTGTCCAACACCTCAAACGTGCTTTGACATAAAATGACTAACAGCGCAGGTGGAGCGTCCTCTGTTTGTTTAAGTTTCCTGCTCAGGGATTGTTTGACATAATGTAAATTGTTATGCCATGGCAGACACCACTGGATATATACATAAAATATATATGAACCAACCGAGTTTGCAAGCCGCTACGACCCACGCGCGCTCGATAAATTTGGCCAGGAATAAGTCACAACAGCAGGTTAGAGACTTCTATTGATAAGTTATGAATGCTCTGTAATTTGAATGAAAAGAAGAGAGGCGTTCTAAACTTTGTAAATGAAAGGTGTACCATTTGTCAATAGAAAGTACAGTAAAAACCCGCGTATAAGAACCTAGGTTTTTCCAAGTTAGCCTAAACAGGTTCTTATATAAATGGTATTTAGTGTAAAATTAGGCTAACTAGGTTCTTAATTAGGTTCTTAACTTTTGTTCAAGAAATAAAGCTGAATTTTAAAATGATCTGGTGTTTAATGTCCAAAAACAGTATTCTTAGAGGCTTCGTTAAGCAAAATACTATACTATTTTAATCTGATTCTGTTACAATCAAACCTATGGTAAAGTTTTATGTAACCATGCTATAGGGTTTAGAGTATTATTGCATACAGACTGTGTTTTTGAGAAAATTTCCGAATTCTATAAATTTTTTTTTTGAAAATAAGAACCTGTTTTAGGATTTTAGCCTAAAATGGTTCTTATGTGAAGGGTGCTTAAAAATGAAATTTTAGCCTGACAGGTTCTTAAATGTTAGGTTCTTATACGCGGGTTTTTACTGTACACGAAAGGGGAACCTTTTCTGTCAAGAACGGTGCATAAAAGGGTAAGGGATTGGACCTCGTGGCGGAACCTCCCCGTCTAAAACTTTGTTGAGTATATCCCCTCTCCTGGCCCTTGCCCATCAGGTAAGTCGTTTCCCCGGCGGGGAATCCAGTCCCTTCATGCCGACTAAACAGAAATATCAGCATTTATCCCCTTGAGCAATCTCGGGGTATTTGACTTGGCTTTCAATCCGTAAACAAGCTCACCCACTTATAAATCATCCCAGTTATTTTCCCATCTACCTGTAAACAACAACAAAAAAATGCATCCGATTATGATCCCCCGGCCACAAGCCCCACTCCAAAAGTATTGAAATGAATTTGATTTATTATGACGTCTCGAAGCTTAACTCAAAACCAGTAAATTCAAAACGTATTTTGATCAGCACTGCTATAGCGGCTTGTTTCAAAGCGCTTTTTTTATTCCGGTTGTAACACTGTTGTAAGTCCCCTCGGATATAAGCCCCTTCGTTCATAAGCCCCCTCGGATATAAGCCCCTTCGTTTAGAAGTCCTCTTAAAACCCCTTACGAAGACAAATAAGCTCAAGGGTTATAAACGGTTTTTTACGGTACGTACCCTGAAAGGTAGGAAGTAATGACCGGCATTTGGGTGCGGGTGTTTGACATAAGACTGGAGGGGTGGGAAATTTCTGCAAAAACTGTGGAGATTTGTACCTTTTGTTCATGATGGTAGCTGTACAACTTGGCTTAGTGTAATCTCGGGGCGGGGGCGGGGGGAAGACTCCGGGTTTCAAGTGAAAGGGATAATCGAATGGAAGCAAAAATCAAAACCCCAAAATATCTGAAGGGCTTCCATCAAAACCCCCCCAAAAATCCCTGGACCAAATATTAACCCACAAAAATCCCACGCCGAACTTCCGAGCCTTAAAAATTTCTAGAGAGCATTAAATGATATAACACGAAAAATGAGGTTTTTTAAGACAAGTTTGGTTGTACTTTATTCGCAGAACTGCGAGGCCAAGATATGCGGGCACTACCACTGAATCTTCAGATTATTTTGAATACTAAAAAAATACCTACTTAAATCAAGCCACCCTAAAAAAAACTTACCAAAATTTCCCACCAAAAAAAATTCCGTAATCGAAAAAAAAACCTTCGATTATCCCAGTCACTTGAAAACCGGAGTACTCCCCATGGGAATATAATTCCAGCCCGCACCTGTCTTTAGAAAGCCCACTTTTTTCTGAGTAAACTCTCATCTTTATGTTTGCCAAACAAAGTCGTCGTCATGACTATTTGACGCCTTAGCCTGAATGTGTTTTACTAAGGGCTTTAAAAAGTCTAAAAGATCTCTCAGTTCTTTGTATAATCATCCTCATTCTACCGAACAAGGCTTTATGTGTTTTTTGGTCCAACGGATTATAGGCTTTGTCAACGCTCTTTTTAACTGTATTATAAGATTACTCACAAGAACAATATCTCGTGTAGTTTCCCACAATTCATCCTTTTCAACTTTGTCGTTATGGAAATTTCTTGATGTGTTTTTTTAGCTGGTTAAGAACTTAAATCGTTTTGTTAAACATGTTAATTTTTTTTTATTGTCGACTGAAATGAGTGTAACTTACTCTCGCCGCTTGATCGTTCGTTGGGCACTATGACTGCACGGATTTCAACTCCTTTGGGATGTAGTTTTGACAAACGTGAAAACATTTAAGGTAGCACAAGTTCATCAATTTTCAAAACATGCCTAGCAACAGGAGCCTTTTGTAGGACAGAGGATTATCAAGAGATATTTGAACGCCGAATAGTTCCCAACAGTCATAACAGTTTCTTCATTGTCAGGGAGAAAGTCAGGTTCACCTTCTTTTGAAGCAATTAGGCGTGTTTTTTAATTTTTGATAGAACTAAACAATCGAAAGAAAAAAATTAGAAACGTAATAGGTTTAACCAGTTTTCATTTATACATTTTGACTGTATTTTGCTCACACCGCGTTTTTCCGTATCCGTATTTTGCACACGGAGTAAAATTGTTGTGAATTCTCAAGGCCTTTTTTTTGGTGTGGCTTTTCGAACTAAGTCGCTTGCAAATTCTTCTCTTATAGCAACAATAATATATCAATAGTCTCATGTCTTTCTGCCATATGAATTAAACCGACGAACAGAAAACTTGTCTGAGTGTGTCTTTCACCGCTTGTCTGACTTCTTTGATTTTCCAGCAATATAGGAATGGGTTTAATGTTGAGTTTAAGTACATAACAGTAATCCCAAATTGTCGAGCAAGGTAATACGGCAAAGGTAATTCTCTTTTAGGCGTTAAGACTACCGCAACAACGTACGGTAGATAACAAACAACTAATGTTACTTGTATCCATAGTGCACTGGATACTGCCTTTCTGTATCGAGACATGTTCATTGACGTTGGTTGGCTTGACTGTGCTTTTGAGTCGTGTTCCAGTGGCTGAATTTGGTTTTTACGCAGAGTAATGAAAATTTTGGTATAAGACAAGATTGATGTGATCAAGCAGAGTATTATACCTATATTGCCAATCCAGGAAGTTACAAATGGGTTCACAAAGTACATTGTTGCAGCGACGATGGAGATAGCCCAAAAGACTATTATCGCTAAATATGTTCTCTTCAAAGTTACAACTTGTTTGTATCTGAGCCCTAGCAACAGGGCAAGAAGTCTGTCTAAGCTTACTAAAGTTATCGTCATTAAGGACACTGCACAGAGAACATATCCTATGAAATATGCTGATACTACGACGTAGCGACAAATATCCCATCTTTTTGTCGCCTCAGATATCCAATAAGCCACCATAAGAGGTTCCAAGATGACACCAACACAAAAATCAGTTATAGCTAGGTTACGATACAGGAGTTTGGACGGCGGATGAAGTGATGATTCCTTGCGCAGTGCAGCTAGAATAAGAGTGTTTCCCAGAGATGCGGAAAGGGACAGAAAGATACTTAGCACAGACAGAAATATTAAATGTCCGTTCACCTTTCCTGACGTCAGTTCTTCGGAACAATAAAATTGTTCTATCGTTTTGTACATTCCTTCTCGATATATCTTTGTTACTTCCATTTTGCAATTTGAGTAGGGTTTCTTGTACGTGCAATTTTCCAACACCTCAAACGTCCTTTGACATAAAATTGATTAAAAGCGCAGGTGGAACTTTCTCAGTTTGCTCAGCTTCTTGGCTTTCTGCCCAGCGATTGTTTGCATTTAATATAAACATCTCTTCTCAAAATGCACGGAAACTTAGAGTCACTAAATTTAAATCTTACTTAAATTAAAGTGAGTACAATATGAAATTCTGCCATGTAGTCGGAATACTAATGGTTACATTGCAGGTACTTGTGAAAGGAGCAATGACTTTGTGTGACAATGTGCAGTAAATATTAGTGCGGACAGCATTAAGATAAGACATAACAGTTGCAAATCTCTGAAAAATGTCAAATGTACCTTAATTATTACATAAAGTTTTAGAGACACTTTTAAGCGATTTTTCTGAAAATTGCTTAACTTAAATATAACAAAATTAAGTGCGGCTTAAGTTAAATTGTCCCTTATTATGAAATATGCTGATACTACGACGTAGCGACAAATATCCCATCTTTTTGTCGCCTCAGATATCCAATAAGCCACCATAAGAGGTTCCAAGATGACACCAACACAAAAATCAGTTATAGCTAGGTTACGATACAGGAATTTGGACGGCGGATGAAGTGATGATTCCTTGCGCAGTGCAGCTAGAATAAGAGTGTTTCCCAGAGATGCGGAAAGGGACAGAAAGATACTTAGCACAGACAGAAATATTAAATGTCCGTTCACCTTTCCTGACGTCAGTTCTTCGGAACAATAAAATTGTTCTATCGTTTTGCACATTCCTTCTCGATATATCTTTGTTACCTCCATTTTGCAATTTGAGTAGGGTTTCTTGTACGTGCAATTTTCCAACACCTCAAACGTCCTTTGACATAAAATTGATTAAAAGCGCAGGTGGAACTTTCTCAGTTTGCTCAGCTTCTTGGCTTTCTGCCTAGCGATTGTTTGCATTTAATGTAAACATCTCTTCTCTTTAGAGATGAGCCACTGAGAGCCAGAATATTAGCGGTGTGCGACAAACGCAGACTGCAGACTTGCAGACCTGCAGACCTGCAGACTTGCAGACTAGCAGACTTGCAGACTCGAAGATTTGCAGACCTACATTTTTTGTGACAGGGCTTTGGACTAATTTTATTCATCCTCTGTTTACTGTTGGCGAATCGCAAAGTATGTCTGAGGCAAACAACAGCGCTAACGGGCTGCAAACACAACAGTGCCCGATTCGACAGGTGACTGGAAATCCTTGCCGTGGAAGACTTAACATCGGAAGAACGGTGACCTAAACTTCAGCGAGAGCAGCGAAGAAGAAGACGGGTGGGATCATCGAGCGGCTTTAAAACGGAAGGACATCTGTGAGCAGGAAATAAGTCAGCACAGAATTTGATTGTCGGCGAATTTCTGTAATCGTTCATCGTTCTGCTAGTGATAAGCTAGCCGTTGTTCACTCGTCTTGCTTGTTTCGGGCTGAGTCTTATTCCGGTCAAAGAGAGAGAAAGAGTGTCTGGCAAGGTTTCCAATCAAAGATTTGTGAACTCGTGTCTGGTAAAATCTCCAATGTTTCTATATACACGGTTGTACGCACCTTATAACTTCATCTGCGCTTAACGAGTGTCTTTTGGTCCATAACTTTCACTGAACCAACTGTTCCACAGAATGTCACTGATAACAAGTAACGCAAAAGAGTATCGAAGTATGAGTGCACAATAAATGTCACAAAATCTACCTGACCGGTCCCTTCGAAATTTTCTGTCTTCATCACGTCATCATTACCTACCGATTCCTCGCGGGCCCTGTTCAAGCAAATCGAGATTTTTTTCTGCCATACTGACTGTATATTACAACTGTAAGTACTTTCCTTAATATACGCGCGAGTTACTAGAGTGCCTCCTCGGGATTGAACCTGCGGGGGCAATTATCCCCCCCCCTCCCCGTGAGTTCCGAACGTCTCTGCAAGTCCGCAAGTCTGCAAGTCTGCAGGTCTGCGGTCTGCAAGTCTGCAGGTCTGCGGTCTGCAAGTCTGCAGTCTGCGTTTGTCGCACACCGGAATATTAGAGACTTTGCCATTAGTGGTGAGTTATGAATGATCATTAATGCTCTCTAAAGTGAATGTCTACATTTACATCCCAAATGGTTCTTGTAAATCCAATAGCGTCATATTAAGTGGAAGTATAGTTAGGAACAGTCGACAGTTTTATTTTTGTCCTTATACTTAGATCAATTGTCCAAGTATTTACATAGCAAAAAGCGAAACTTTCCCCTTAGTTTTGTCAGGACCAGCACAGGCCTGCCACTCTTCGTTATAGTAACCCAACCAATTTAACAAATCAGAGAATTTTGGGAGTGTTCTGTCAAGAATCCTCTTTTTAAAATACAGAGGAGAAGTTGTTTAGTCACGATGTCATGGAAGCAAAATGTTTGGATGACAACAAACCGAAAATTCACATAAAAAGAGAATTCACACTGTTTCAAACTTCATCGATCTTATTCAATTTCATTTAATGCTAATTTAATTTAACGTTGAAGAGACCCAATAAGAGCGAAACAGCTGTCCATGGCTAGACTACGAGTAGTCCCCCATTTTTCCTCAGGGATAGTAGAGCGAGCAAAACGCGAGCGCGCGTGAAAATCAACCCACGCGAGAAAAGGCGACACGCGGCGGGGAGAGAGAAAAATGAGGGACTACAGACAAAGCCTGATTGGCTCTTCCATGGAAATCTGTCAACATCTGTCAAAAATGCGCCAGCCGCTATCAACACTCGACATGATCACAATTTACACAACAAATAACTAGCTTTAGAGCAGCAATAATAACAGCAAAGAACAAATAACTAGTCAGAGTTGCTCTTGTAGAAGCAACTAAGGGACGGACCATTAGAAAAGTTATGGGGGGGGGGGGGGGGGAATTTTCGGGCTGCAGGAATTTTTTTTTGTTATCAAATTCCTTGTATGAATTTTTTTCAGGCCCTTGCATGAATATTTCTTAGGGTTTATTGGCGCGCAAGAATTTTTTTCATTTAATTTTCCCTTGCGCGAAATCAGTTAAAATTCATGAGCAGTCATGACTGAGTCACATCGCAGTTCTCCATAGTTGATTTAGTTTTAGTTTAAGCTGCAATCCATTCTTCGAGATTTGGATATCGCTATCCGTCCTGCTAAAAACGCTAACGAGCTGGGCCCAGCGCCCGGGGGGGGGCACTTGGGTATTTTTCGGGTGGGTATGTGCCGCCCGGGACTCCAAATTGGCACCCCGTTCTAAAAAAAATTTCTCCTGAAATTGATACCCCGTTTTAGAAATGGGCCAATTTTTTATACCCCGTTTTAGAATTCGCTTTAAAACTGATACCCCGTTCTAGAAATGGGCCAATTTTTGTATACTACGTTCCAGGGTGCAACAAGAGTATAACAGTTTGCTTGTTAACGCATTGAACCGTATTTTTAAAAGCAATCTGTCCTTGAATAATTTCAAATGGCTGCTTACAAAAGTGGAGCTTTCGTGCATTCGAAATATTATACCCCTTTCTAGAAATCGCCTCTGAAATGGATACCCCGTTCTAAACCAGGAGCTTCAAAATCACGACCCCGTTGGGCGGCACATACCCGTATAGGTAATGTATGGGAGTGCCCCCCCCGGGGCCCAGCGTGACAAAACATTGCAGGAAACCGACACATTCACGGCCAAAGAGATAATCGCTTAAAATTATTCAGATCCAGGAGGCAATCGCCGGAAAAATTAAACAACCCCAGACCCTTATTTAGCCGCATTGAAGAGCTTTACTTTTCAAAAGAAGTGAAATAAAATGCTCTTGCATTAGTGGGCAAATCATGCCGACCATAAACAATAACCGCAGAAAAGTAATATACGTGTCGTGACCTCTCATTATGAAATAAGCGGCAAAAATCACATTTGCTCAGTCTAAACGTTTTCCTCCAGAGCATAATCTATCCGTCAGAAAAAAAAAATTCATTGGAACAAGCAGCATTTTGGCATGAGTAAAAGTCGTGTGTTGCCTACACTATCAAGTTCTTCACGCGAAACAACCGTCAAGAAAATTAGTATCTGGGTTTTCTTTTGCTTGCAATAAGTATCCCCCGCAGTTTACCGATGACAAGAGCAATGACAGCTCAATGAGGGAAGGAATCCCATTGGATGCGCTTAATTGATTTGGAAGGGGATACGAACTTCACACTCCGAAATCAGTCGGCCGTGAAGGGTCAAAAGCTTGCGCTTTGTCTGTAGTCCCCCATTTTTCTCTCTCCCCGCCGCTTGTCGCCTTTTCTCGCGTGAGGGGATTTTCACGCGCGCTCGCGTTTCGCTCGCTCTACTATCCCTGAGGAAAAATGGGGGACTACTCGTAGTTTAGTCCATGGCTACCACTGCTTGGGTGATATGGCTGTGCGCATCCGTGAGGTACTGGCCGGGCTGTGGGTTGGTGTATGCGTGCCCATTGTGTTGCCGGATTAATATTCGCTTGGGATAATGTGTTCTTTCAATTTGAATTTCATACTGGAGAACGAGGCTAGTCAGGCTAATTTTAGTACAAAACAAAACAATATTGAGCTAGTAGCCATTTCTGCATT